ATCCTAACCCTATTAAGGACACTCACCTTTGAGTTGAAGGAACGTATCCTAAAACCGTTATTGTCAACGTTTCACATTTCACAACTCCTCATTTTTGATCCGAATTAATTGAAAGCACACCATTGGGCATTGGCTTTTTTAAACTGTTAACACCCAATCAACAAATGGAGAGTAAACCTCAATTAGTAGGGTGGCTTCTCTTGCAACAATCACTCCTTAACAGGTTAAAGCAGAGTATATTCCATTAATACCCAGTGTGCACTTCTGAATTTATGTCTATATTAAAAAAATCAAACTTACGTGGGACTTGCGTTTAGACGTTCGTTTGTAAAGGCGTAGGTTAATCAACGTACTCTTTGTAGCTTAGAATGCCGTGGAAGGAACTCATTGAAGAAAACATCGCGAGTGGGATCTAATGAATCAAACCTATCCAATAACTAATACTTATCCCCCAATCCGTCTGATTCTCGTGTCCCCTCCAGATGAAGCCTTCAAAACATTTGATCTCCAATTCGATCCACCCAATGACCACTTCCAAGTTTGCGAGAGCTGCTATGAAGAAATTTAACTCGATCGATTGAATTTCAAGAATGCTCGCCTGTATTTTCGACTCTGTGACAATCCAGAAACTGCTATCAACTTAGACGCTGATGAAATGGTAAGCACCTACCTAAATTCTTTTTTTCAATGTTAATTCGATTCATTCCACACTTTCTTGTTACTTTTTGTGGTATTCCTAGCGATCTAAAGAGAGGGCCTCGATGACTGACAGGCCACGTCGCCCTTTAAAAAACGCGATGATATTTGCGTTACTGTTAATTTTAGTATGACCCTGCTTAATTTACGATCAATACTCATTGAACATTTCAAAGCTTACCCCATGGATAAGCACTTGATAATAAACGTGAGACATTAAAAAACATTTCTACTTATTGTATTTAAGTAGTAAATTACTTGGATTTCTGTTTAGGGCGTTGAACTACTGGATAATCAGAAATCACTTTACCAATTGGATATTAGACCAGATATGGTGATATTTGCCTAGGTCGATCCATCAAATGCCGCAGTCGATTTAGATTATGAATTTCCTGACGGAGATGTTCCCCCAGGTGGCTCAACCAGGGGGAAAGGTAAAATTTGGGACACACAATGAAACAGATTTTAAATGAAAAAATGTTTTTTTTCCCTCTAGTTATGGAAAACTCGGCATGATAAGGGTTGGAATGTGACAGAGACCCAACAATGTTTACCCAATATACGATGACGCACAAACAACTGCTTTGACGTCCTAATAGAAACACAAATAAGTGACTAGCTATACGACGTTCGATTGGGTTGGGGTGTCGAATTAGACAGAGCGATTTTTGCACTGTCTGTTCATAATACTTCAATGACTTAGAGAACACATAGGGAGTATTTAGCGTTACTCTTTATTAAAGCGTATGAACCCTAGAAAAGAGAGGAGAGGGGGG